TGCCCAGCCCCACCTCACCGTGTACATCACACATGCTATGCTGGCTCACGATGCCTGTGTCATTCTCCTTGTCAGCCGGCCACTTGTAGACAAACAGAGATGTGTGGGAAGAGCCAGCATCCAGGACAATGCCATACTGGAGAGAGAAGAGTATGAGTAGGGGAGTTACTTCCAGGAGGTTCCTAGGGAATTCTCCCAGCTCACGAAGCTCTCAAACCCTGGAAACTCCTAGACCCCAAAATGGCCCTGGAAGAGAGAATGCCTCCCCTCCCCCCACTTTTATACACACACAGAGCCACACACACAAACACACACAAACATACACAGCCGCACCCCAGAATGGGACAGTTGGAAAACTGAGAAGTGTCATGGCCAGGAGTAGGGCCAGCAGTACTGAGGTGCAAGTGGCCCAGGGTTTCAGGTTCTGGCATGCCCTGGCAGGTTGCCTTGCTAGCTTAGAAGCAGTATACCCGCCTAGGACAGAGGATGAGGACAGCTAAGTTAGCATTCGCATGAGCCCAACTTCCATAGGCAACTGAGACGGGCTGGGGCTGGGGTATCCTTATGACTGAGGGCTCTGGAACCAGATGTTCTCCTTGATAACCACCTGGGAGCGATGAACTGGAGAAAAGCAGAGATGTGCTCCCATTCTATAGGTATTCAAGTGAACATATATATATATATATATATATATATATATATAGTAAAGATTAGCAGCTGGGGTGGTGTTGGAGAGAAGATCACACTTGAATACTATCACCTGCAAGCCACTTCCTTCCTTCCTTCTTCCGCTCTGCCCCAAAACTTTTGTAACATATTTTGTAACATACTTTGAAGATGAGAAATTGGAGGCCATCAGAGGAAGTGGGGCTATAGTTCCTGCTGTTCCTGGGGGACTCTAAGGAAAAAACACAGAATTCCCCCACAGTCTGTGTGTCCTCGGCTACACAGGCCACCAACTACCAAGAGCCAATGAGGGATTCAGAGAAAATGAAAGTGGCCTCTAACCCTATAGACCCTTTGGTCTGTAGACTCCTGAAGTCAAGGGCAAAGGACTGGGGCTGGGAGCATCTTTGACTCCCTCTCTTTCACGTGAAGAGAAAGGCAATAAAAATGATTGGGGTAATCTCCTTGAAACCATGGCAACAGACATGTTAAAAAAAACAGGCTTCCTCAACTGTTTTGTTGGTAATTCATAAAAAATTAACCAAATAAATTCAGTTTTTAAATACTGGCCGCTGTGAATATAGCCTTAGGTATCATCACCCATGGATGAGTACTCCCATTGTACAGATGGACAATGGGAGGCCCACTTGTGCCAAATATGCCATCAATCCCCAAGATCCCTCTCCCATATATTCTGTGCTCTATTGGGAGCCCTCCCTCCCCACAGAGGGAGGCAAAATAAGGTCCACCTGGAAGCCAAAGGAAGAAAGTTGAATGAATACATGAATCCCTCACCTGCTCTGGGAAGACCCTTTCTTCACTTCCCCTCTATATCTCCAAGCCCCAACTTTCCCTGATTCCTCTCTCAAAAAAAAAAAAAATCAGGAAATCCAGACCCTGGTCCAGCCAACTTCCAATTATCCAAGAGCTCCTGAGCCAGTTTGTGACCCATCCAAACACCACACACAGCATCCTGGAATCCTTCCCACTACACAGCCCAACACCTGAGTCACTTGGAAGACAGTGGGGTGAGGGGGAGAATCCAGTAAAGGGGTGAAGGTTAAGTTTGCAGAATCTAAAGATGAATCTGCTCTCCCTCCAACCCTACCCTTTAGAGCTACTCTCCAGCCAGTTTGGTGAAGAACTCACTCTTCTCTTTGGAGATCCTTTGGGTCCAATTAAAAAAAAACACATTGGGTCCAATGACATAAGAAAAAAAGGTTCCTATGAATGCCAAACTGACTTAGGCGATGTTGGCTTTAGCTAAAACTGTGATCATTCTCAGAGTTGGTCACAGCACTGCTCAGTTTGCTTTACAGGGAACCAAAAGTACCTGTTCATCCCACATTCAAACTCCAAGATGCTTAGGGGGTCTGATCACCTTCAACAAACTTCTTTTGAGATGAGGAACTGGGCTACCAAGCCATAATAACCCCCACACCCATTGTCAAAGAACTGGAGTGATTTTGACCATAGCCATGAGAGGGGCCAGGCTTCCCACTATGTTTACAGACATATACAGGACTCCATCATCTTTGTATGTATATGTGGGGGAACCCAAGGAAACTCCCAGAAGAAAACTTGGCAGCCAATTTGCTGTTTCAATCATTTCTACTCCTCCCGGAAGCGAAGACAGAAACAGGGAGGAGGGGAGCCCAGGCAGTCCTGCCCAGCCCTGTCTGTGTGTGGGAAGAACCTTGGTACCCGGCCTAAATGAGTCTTTCGAGGGTCTGGGGAGGTGAGAGTTGGGGAGGAACGGCCACAATCCCCACGAAAAGTCCTTCAATATGTAGCAGACTTGCATCTTGGGCCGGGACTCTTATGAGATCCCAGTGCCGTTTCCGACCTGGTGGGCTTGTGGGGGACCCCATTCCTCCGCTCTGCCCCCGCCGCCCAAAATTCCGCTCCGCTGGCTCATGCCAGTGCTTGTCTCATTGTCCAGAACCCTGAACGAACGCGGACCGCTCCTCCCCCGAGGCAGCTGCAGGACTGCGGCCCCAGAAGGCTAGAGGCCAGGACCGGGGACAGGTACCTTGTAGGCGGGAGGCTCCCGGACGTCCCTGGTGGGGATGCAGAGCAGCAGGAGGCCCACGAGGCCAGCCAAACAGAGCAGCAGAGGCAGCAGGACTGCTAGGACCTTCCCGGCCATGATCCCGCCCGCCTGCCTTCCCGCGGGTCGCGAGTAAGGGTTTGGCTAGGGGTGTTAGCTTCGCCTGGGTTGGGGAGCACAGTTTCAAGGCAGCTGTCTAGGCATGGGAGGGGGCGGAGCCCTGGTTCAGGAGGTGGGGCTAACTCAAACCATTGGACCAGATCCTTGGCTACTGGCCCCGCCTTCTCCCTGCCCCTCAACTCGTCCCTCCCCCCCAACCTCTATGGCGCGCAGGTGAAAAAGAACCTTCGTGGCTGAGTCACCCTGGAGCGTCCGGGCGGGACCTGAACTCTTCATCCCCCTTCCAGACCCCTCATCGCTTTCTCCACTCTGCCTCCTTTCCACATCATCCCACTAGTTCCCATACTTACAGTTTCTGCTACTTGACCCCAACGTCCTCCTTAACCTTCCTCCTTTCTGTTATCCTTCCCCTTCTTGCTTCCCTTCCATTACACTCTTTATCCTTATCTGCTTCCTATCCCAGGTCTGTTCATCTATTTTTAACCTTCCACTCATCCTTCTCCCTTTGGGGGGGGGGGGTGTGGAGGGAAGAGAAAGTTGTTTCAGATTGTGATTTCACTCATGTATGGAATTAAGTTTTATGAAAGCTGGCTGAATGGCAACTGAAGCAATTTACAGTTTTAAACAGTTGCCTGGAGGTTCTGTGTAGTCAAGTAACTTTCAAAGGGGTTAAAAGCCAATGTCCATCAGAGGTAGCATTTGAATCTAGATCTTCCTAACTTTGGGTCCAGCCCCCTATGTCTCATTTTATCCCTTTCCTATTCATTAACCCCTGGGGCAGCTAGATGGTACTGGGCCTGGAGTCAGTAAAACCTGAGTTCAAACATGGCTTTAGATACTTATTAGCTATGCGACGCTGGGCAAGTCACTTAACCTCTGTGTGCCTCAGTCCACTGGAGAAGTAAATGGCAAACCACTTCAGTATCTTCGCCAAGAAAACTCCATGCACAGTATGGTCCACAGGGTCACAAAGAGTCAGACACAACTGAACAATTCATTAACCTCCAATTTCCTGTCTCATCTCTTAGTTCTCTTAGTTCATAATTTCATAAATTTCATAAATCCCTCTTCCTGGAAACCCCCCACCCCAGGTTACTGCCCTACTCACAGGTGTCTCTGTCCTCTGAACTTCTTCAGTTTGAGTCATAAATTCTAGCACAGAATTATTCTGTTCCACCAACCTGCCAGTGAATTGCTAGGCTCCTCTAAGGCAGGGGACCTTATTCCTGTTTCTCTCATAACATACCTAGCCCACTATGCTTCTGGATACACATTCATGTTATTGAGTGATTTATCTTTGAAAGAACCCAAGGGAATAGTTAAATATGAAAAAGCAACAGAGGAGTCCACATCAAGGGTGGAAAATTGACAGGCTGGTTTTTTGGGGCGGGGGGTAAGGAGGGTAGAAAGGGGAAGGATGTTCCTCAGTTTTCACACAAAGCTGGTTGTCTGGAGTGTCCAGCATATAAGTTCCCAATGGAGATGAGGGCTGGTCTAGTTGACTACAATTCAGTAACTTTTTTTGATGTTTTGTGGATACCTTTTATTTTTATATCATAATCATTTAAAATTATTAATGCAACCTATATCAACTTACATGCTGTTTTGGGGTGGGGGGAGGGGAGAGATAGGGAAAAAAATTGGAACTCAAAATCTTGTGGAGGTGAATGTTGAAAGCTAAAAATAAATAAATAATTTTATTTTAAAAATTTATTAATGCATTTCAATTTAAAATCATTTATTTTTTCCAATATATTCTTCCCTTATACTTCTCAAGGCACCATTCCTCATAACAAAAAATGACAAAAACAAGCAGGAAAAAGTTAAAAACTAACTAACACACTAACCAAATGTAACATTAAATGTAGTGTTCCATTCCCATAGACCCTCACGTTGGCAAAGAAGGGAGGGAGTTGCATTCTCATATCTCTTGTTTGGGGCTTAATTTGATTATTACAATTTCACAACATTCAGTTTTGATATTCTATTGCTATTATTTCCATTTCTATTGTTGTCTTGTATATTGTTTTCCTGGTTCAGCTTAATATCAGTTCATATAGGTCTTCCCATGCTTCTCTGGCTGCATCATCTTCAAAATTTCTTACAGGTCAGTAGTATTCCATTAAAGTTATGTATCACAATTTGTTGAATCATTTTTCAATTGGTGGGCATCTGGTTTGGAGGCAATGGAGCTATGTGACTTGCCCAGGGTCACACAATCTCTCCTACTTTCTTCAATTACATCTATGCTACCTTACTACCCCATCCAGCAGGATACTAGACTGTGTGCAGAGACAAGCTCAACTTTTCTAGGATCTGCCATAGACATGGGCTCTCAGGCAGAGCCTGAGGTGCCTTGGATAAAAGACTTGACTTGTCCTTTTCAGGGCTTTTGATTGAGTCTGATCTGACGCCCCATCTCTAACCCCCAGAGGGGATCCCAAAGCAGAGCTAATCAATCAATTAATGAACATTCAGACCCAGTCCTTGCACTCAAGAGAGCTTACCTTCTACTGGGGACATACAGTAATACACATAAATACAAAAATACATAGAAAATAATTTCCAGAGTGGGGGCATTTATACCTGGAAAGGGATCATTAAAGGTTTCCTGTAGAAGGTAGTACCTGAACTGTGCTTTGATGCATTCTAAAAGGCAAAGGCAAGGAAGGGATATATTCTTGGCATGGAGAACTACCAGTGCAAAGGCATGGAGAGAAGACAGAATTTTATGTGTGAGGGAACCGCAATCAGGCCAATTTGACAGGAAGGGGAAATGTGTGAAGGGGAGACATTGCTGGGAAGATATGTGGGAGTCAGATTGTTGAGGGCTTTAGATACTAAGGTGAAGATTTTCTATTTTATGCTACAGGCAATTGAATTATGAGTATGATGATGTGTGTGGGTGAGAAGTGGATCATCCTAGGTAGAGGTAAAAGGGTCAAAGTGTTGAAGGAATGAAAGGCAGGGAGGTGGTAATGGGTATAACTTGTCCATTGCACAAAGGAGATCCATCTGATTAGTAGGATGGATGACTGACAGGCTTGGAAATAAGACTGAATTAGTAAGGTGAAGCCAAATCTTTAAGCTCCTTAAATGGTTAGCTGAGGAACGGGGAATTGGTATATCAGCATTCTAGATTCCTTCCCCAGTGGTCTCAAATAAACTAGAAGCTCTGAGAAGGCACAGACAAGTGTGTTTCATCACATATAGAGTCCAGTCCAGCATAGTATTAGCTCCAGGGTCCACCGTCATTGAATCTGGGAAAAACTCGTCTTACCTCCTGTAGTCTCTCCAGAACCATCCTGGCTCTGTCCCTAACAGGTTCCCCACTTTCTCCACTTTCCCACCACTTCTTCTCATCCCCTCTTATACTTAACAGTGTCCAAAGAGACAAGTGACTAATCTACTCTGATCAAAAAGTCCTTTCTGAGGAGGTTATCTTTCCTCTTTCCAGGTTACACCTGCATTTTGAATGGGTCCTCAGAAAACAATGTATACATCTATTGTTTCACCTATCAATTAGTCTCAGGATGCCAATAAGCAGGTAGATGATAAGTATGGTTTTGTGAGGGCAAACCTATGGGAAAGCATTTGGGAGGTAAATGGGACCTTATAGTCTTTCTGCTCCATCTACTTGCCAGGGTCTTTGGAGCTGGAAGGAGAGCAGGCAGGGGATTCAGAGACCAACCTACTGTCTCCCAATATTCAAGGAGTATGACAAATAAGCTTCGTTGATTTGTGTGAAATTTCCCCCCCCACCCCCATCCAACAGGACTTCAGTGGAGCAGTTTCACAGGCTAGTCTGTACAATAGAGTTAAAAAAAACCAAAACCAAAACCAACAGCAATCTGCAAGGATGCCTTTCGCTCCTTAGCCCTCTCCAAGGAAATTCATGTGTATCATTTGAATAGCCCATCTCCAGGGGCCCATTCCTTAATCCCTTTCATGCTTTCCTTCTGAAAAGCTTCTTCCCTTCCACTGCCCTTTGTTCCCAGGGTCAGAGGCGAAACTCCTTAGACTGAGGAGTAGAGAACTTGGGATCCAAATATCTTGAAATGGGAGAACCCTGCTGAACCCTTAAGGAGAGAACATCCTGAGAGGTGTCCACCAAGAATTCCAACTATGTTCCAGCAGTGGAAACCTCCAGGGATTCTGAAAGGGAGACTTGAGGTGGGGCATGGAGGGTGGGGGGGAGAAGTTGAGAGAAGGGATGTCTTTGATAAAGGGGAGAAAGCAACCCAGATCTTGGCTCTGGTCCCAGGACTGAGACAAGAAACAAGCTTGCATTGCCAAATCGGCTAATTCAGAGATAATAAAGGGTGGGATGGGTTGCCATGCCTCTGAGGGTCTGGAAGAATTAGCAAAGGCAGCTTTATTCTCTTCAATGTCTGCTGCCCTCTTCCGCCCTCTCTTCCTCTCCCCTTCCCAGAGCAGAAACTTTTCGGGAAGCCCTGCTTCCCTGAGCTCAGCGGGGGAGGTGGAGGACACAAGGTACCAGACCACTGGACATTACTGAACAGACCAGAGCTGTGCCAGATTCAATTTGTCCATTGAGTTCTCTCCCAGGCTGTCTCTTACAACTCTATCCCCCTTCCCCATCCCCACCCACTGCCACAAATCCTTTCTTCTGGAGTTGAAAGGGTCTATGGCCACAAGAAGGCAAAGGATTTCACCACATCAGATGGGCATCCAGGGAGACAAAGGCAGCCTGCAGTGCCCAAGGCTGAGGTCCCAGAGCATGACACCATGAGCCTGGGACATAAAAGTACAGAAGGATCCCATATGATCCCTGCCTGAGACAAAGGCAGGCACTATGTTCTCTTAAAAGTTTAAGGCATGTTTTCATCATTATTCATTGCTCTGATGGTCTGTCAGAGGCCAGAGTAAAACCATGGGTGGCCTGGTCCCAGAGAACTGTACCCCCACCCCAGGAACCAATGCTCTCATCCTAAGAGTTTTCCCACTTGCCCAATTCTCTGCTCCTCCCTCACATCCCAAGGTTGCCAGGGTTTAAATTCACGACTCAAGGAAGAACCAATCAATCAGCAAGCATTCATTAAGTGCCTGTTGTATTCTAGGCACTGGG